GAAAGCGATGATGTGTCACAATGTCACAATCGACGACGATTGTAAATATTACACACTACGATGTATTGGAGTACGGAAGCTACGGTAGTAGAGTGGTTGTTGTGTTTTTTAAATTTCGAAACTGCCGCCATCCAAGGAAGATCGACCACAGACATCAACACATCAACCAACTTGCGGGGATGTGTCTGATGTCCGTATCGGCCGTTTGTTATAACGACATTAATTTTCACAGTCAATTTGTCACATCCTTCGAACTGCCGATGGATAGCTATATCCCTACACTACTAAAAATTCCAGAATGAGTTGGTCGCGGTCCATAACGAATTCATCCGAAAGAGGCATAACTTGAGATCAATTAATGATTTCTCTTTCATAAGGCGCGCGGAGTTGAACAGAGACGCCACCGACGAAAAAAAGAGGCACCCCATCCGACAAGAAACACGCGCGCTGCGCCCTATTTATCCTCACACACACTCTCTCACACACAAAAGGAACAACAAACAACAAACAACAACACACCCAACAGGCTCATCAACAACACGATTGTTTTGTTTCCAGCTCTACAAAGCCGCATTTTAGACTCAGCGACGACAGGTACGTTTACCAAACGTTACGACATTGGTGTTTCCCGGCCGAAAACATTCCAGAGTCAGGAAACGAATCAGCTGTCGCGATTTTCGTCGTCATAACTGTTCGTGCCAAAAGTCTCGCACTATAATAATAATATTATTATTTTGAGTGCAGTGGGAATTTTTGTTGTCTCTCTCCTATGTGAGTTCATGGAATGACGGCGGCACAAACAACAATATTCAAATAATAGTTGAGTCGTTCACGACCATGGGGGTGGATGGAGGAGGAAGTGGAAGTACTGGAACAAGCATTATACTACCAACGCTTTCTGCACGACGGCGTTGTATTCGAACGAGTCAATTTGAGTTGTGCTTTTCAGTGTCTGGTGTCTTCGATGATGATTTGTCAGATGATCAAATATCACAGAGTCAATAGGAATGCTTCACTTTTTGTTCGTTGTACGTTGTTGGTCTTTCCTGCCGCAAACAGAGCAGTACATGCGTATTGCCGGTTTGAGAGCCCGTCCATACAAAACTTCATGAAAAGCGGAATGTAATTTACTCATCAACAACAAGTGATCTCACCGTCTCACACTGCCTTGTTTCACTTTTTTCTTCCTTCTCCGCCTTCATTTATAGAAGAAATCAATTCATAATCACCACCCCATACAGTGTCCAATTGTTTGTTGAGGGTATATACCATGGTAGACAATTTTGATTTGAATGAGCTCCGAGGCTCGTCTGGCGCCGTCGTCGACAAACTCAACCATGACGAGCCAGACGATGACCTAAACGCACTATCCGAGCTTGTGCCCCACCTCAAAAGTCGCAAGACTCCCATTGCCATCGAAGATGATAGTTCACCAGAGGGCCAAGAATTGAAGCACGTCGAAGCCAGTGGCGGTGGTGGTGGCACCATGCATATCCCTAGTCCATCAAGTCCTCGAAGGGACGGTCCCAAAATGACGGACAAGAGAGAATCCTATCTGGTGGAGGATGACTCTTCTTCTGGAGGAGCAGCTGGAGGAAAGGATATTAACGATGTTCTCTATGCAGGAGAGGATGTCAATTCTGAAGAAGCTTTGAGTAGTGACGATCACTCCAAACCTCGACCGCCCGATGAGACCAACGATAATCTTGGACTTGGAGAATTCCAAAACATTTCGTCGGGCCAGTCACTGTCGACGGCCACACAAACGCATGAAGTTCGCATGCCCATGTATCTACCGACATTCAAGCCTGCCACGGGATGTACCAACGCTTCCGATTTTATTGTTCGTTGTTTTGTGGCGAGGCTGCGATCCGGCATTACCGTTGTCAAGCACGGGCGATCACGATGGTGCAAGTCCCGTCTCCGTGTCTTGCATATTCATCCCGATGGCCGTTCATTGAGCTGGAAACCGGCTCAGGGTGAACCCACTAGCTCCAAAAGACCGCCCAAGCTGGATTTGACGACTTGCATGGAAGTCCGCCATGCCTGGAGTCCTGATCCTCAAAACCCAATGTATACTGGCACCCCCATTCTCAGGCAAAAGTGTGAAGCCGCCAACGCTCATAAATCGTTTGCTCTCATCTTTCCCAAGCGTACTGTAGACATCACGTCTGTGACTGCCGATCAATGCAAAGTTCTGATGGAAGGTTTCTCGGCCTTGTGCTTCCGCCTGCAAGTCGCTAATCTCGCTGGAAAAGGCAATGGCAAAGGCGTGCAAAAGATGCCCGACGAAGAGGATGACCGAGCCACTACCGCATCCGCCACTTTGACGAATAATTCTGCCAACCTCTCTCCTCACAATCGACGTTAAGATGATCCTGTGACAGATTTTGGACGGATATATTGTACGAATGGATGGACGACGAGTGTTTGAAAAATCGATCATTGACGTGGGGCGTGTTCCACACTTGAGGGATGGTGTTGTAGACCTAACCCACACTGGCGAGAAGTGCGAAGCGGTGACACCGTTGTTGCAGGATGAGCGGAATGCTCACACCGTTTTTCACCTCCACTTTTTCACTTTATTGCATACGACGTACCAACGGTTAACACATCATTATTAAGTTACTTGTATAATAATAAAAACTAATAAAAGTAGCAATGATAATGACATAAATAAAAATACTGCTTATTACCACGTGTAGTAGTCTACGGTAGTAGTTATTGGTTTGACACAACGAATTGTCCCGTCGTTTGATAGACGTGTGGAGCATTGACGAAAATCAATCACAACAAGATGCCGAAGTCAACTTGCTTCTGTCTTTTTATTATTTTAGATTCACAGACTTTTTTCTCTTTCTCGCCGGTGTTTTCATTCACCCTCCTCCCCAAAAAAATTTCCTGGAATGGTTGCATCTGGCTGCTCCCGTGAGGGGTCATGCGGATGAACCAACTGATGTTTTAATTGTTGTAGACTCGGGGAATACAACGTACAATAGTTGTCTTTTTGATATAATCATTATTGACGACGGGTTTGTTTATTTTTGTTTATTTATTTTGAATGTACTGTTTGCCAGTGATGCTATTTGTGATTTGTGGTCTCCTACTATGCACATTCGATCAAGCCGACACCGCCCGCATTTCGCTTGTAAATCACAGTTGGTTTTCCCGTTTCTTCATTTTTGAAGACGAAAAAGTCATGGTCGACATAGTCCAAGGCGAAAATTGCTTCCTTGACGGGAATAGCGTGTTCCAAGTCAAAACTGTTGACCTTGATGATATTGGGTTCCTCTGGATCGATGAAATCTCCAATTCGGGACATGGCTTCGTCTCGTACTTCACGTTCCACTTCGGCAGTGACCTCGGCTTCCTCGTCCAATTCAGCCGCCTCCAAGGCATTCATGAGATCCTCACCCATTTTGTTGCCTGCATGCCATCCCTCCTTTCTGCGAGTTCGATACTTTCGAAGTTTGGACGACAAGGCAGACGCTGCAGCGTCGATGGATGCGTACATGTCGGACGTTTCTTCCTTGCAGTGGACGGTAAGACCTTTGAGGATAGCGGTCAAATCGACTCGGTGTCCGTCCTTGACCTATGTGGAGGCCAATCAAGCATGGAGGTGAGTGACAAAGTGAGTAAGGGGGAAAGACGACAAATGGACGCTCCAACAACACAATAACAATATGTATAATTCTGGTTGTGTTTGTGAAGCACAAACACTCGCTCGGAAGGCACACACATACATGCAGACGCACTCTCTCTCTCTCATACACACACACACACACACACACACACACCTTGGGATTTTTGCAAACAGATAAGTGAACGTCACATTCTCTCACAATGCCTCCACTGCCCAACTTGTTCAAAATGCTTCCGATGCGCTTCTCGACGTATTCTTGCAACGCAGGTGTCAAATCAATGTTGTTTCCGGTAATGACCAAGGACACGTCTCCTGCTACTTCGGAACTCATGAATAGTGCCGTTGTCGATGTAGTTGTGATGGAAGAAACAAGTCTCTGTGATGCTGTAAAGGATTGTCCAAAATGACGCTGCTGATGACCCATCAGCAATGTAGAGGATTTGGATGCTTGTGGCGTAGTACTAAAGGCCGCCGACATGATTGGCAGAGACCAAAGCATGAAACTGTTTCGTAGATTCATATTGATGGTAATGTTGTTGTTGTTGTTGATGTTGATGATAAGTTTGTTGATAACAGTACACCTTGTGTAATGACAATGATGACAATGAATGAATTGATGTTGGATGTTGGATGATGGATGATGATGATGTTTGTGTGATGACTTGAGCTTCTTTTTCCGATCTCGTTGCGATCTTTTTCGATTTTTTTGGGTGATGATTTTCTCTGACATCATTTATTAATACGATCTCTACTACCGTCCAGCTGGACTGGCATTCTTCGGCTTCGCATCTGATGGAAGGGCGGATGGAAGGACGGACGAAGGGAGAACGACATACCGGTACTACGATCGTACGTACCGGTAGTACGGTAGTACTGCGGGTACTCCATACCCTCCATACGTACTTCCTTGCCGGTAGTTTACAGTTAGTACGTAGTAGTATTATGATAATAGTACTCCTCTTTCAAAATCTCTCCATCTCTACGGTAGTTAGCTACGGTAGAAGTACCGGTAGATAGACTACTCTCTAGTAGCTAACTAACTGTGGATACAGGTAGCCTCATGATTCACGATAACAACAACAGTAAGTACAACACAAATTAATCATCCAAAAAGTACTACTCCGAGTACTACGTAGCTACTTCGTATTAACAGTAGTAAATAGAGATGCATTGACAGTGAAGATGGTGGAGGAAACTACTACTTACCGGTAGTAGAGCACGTACGTTACTACCGGGTAGTATCATGTGATCGCATTTAACAGTAATTTCCCAAGCAAGTCACGACAACCAATAGTTTTTGTTGGAAATGCAAAAGTCAAACTATGTAAATCTGCATCTCGATACTTTTACCACGCAAGTCACTTTGCCCGAGTTGGTCTAAGGGGTTCGACTCAAGTTCGAATGTATTCGTACGCAGGGGTTCGAATCCCCTAGGTGACATTGGATATCTTGCCCATATTTTTATCTTTTTTGCACCGGTCAATGTACATTGTCTGTCAGCATTTTGGGTTAACTCTAAACCCCAACCCTATACCTCTCTACTAGGGCTACGGTCAATGAAAAAGGTTTTTTGACTCTGATGATCATCTCTCTCTTCCGTCAAATCTCTACTACTTCAATGGAGGGATTTTCATGCCCATTGACGATTATTGATCATCACACTTCTTGTCTGAACTCCTAAATAAATCCGATTTCCCTTCCCGACCAACTCATTCATTTACTTTGCTTTCTACTCCTGGAGTAGCTATCATCACACGTACCGTACTCTACTACTACGGTAGCTAGCGTAGTACTAGCTAGTAGTGATTGGACTCACAGTCAACAATGACCAAGTGTGATGATCCATCCATCCATCCAACGCTGGATCGATTGTTGAATTTTCTCGTGTCGAATTGCGCGGATATCTCTCATGTATTATTTTTGCGTGGATTTCCTCTTGTCATTTTTATCATCCTCATCCGCCCTCATCATCATCACCACCATTTGTACTATCGTTGTCATCACCCACCATGTCTAACCGCAAGCTCAACTCTCGACCCATTACCGACTTCTTTACTCCAGTAAAGAAGACACAAGACGAGACGGTTGCCACTCGACAACATGGCTTGAATGTCGCTCGCTAGATGCGGCGATCATGGAAAGATCATCTTGGGGTAGAAATGTTGTGACTAAATGGCTCGAGAGGACTGTTAGGGTTCATGCCGTTTGCATCAATGGTAGCGGTAGTGGCATCCAACGATTGCCAGATGGCTTTTTCTTCTTCCGCTTCTTCTTCAAGTACTACTTCTACTTCCGCTTCTTGATTGTACATCGAGAAAGTCTCTACCGTCTTTCTGGGAAGGAAGGTCGATGATACAGATGCATCAAAGGTGGTATTCGACACTACTGGCGGATCCTTTCTCTTCTTCTGGGTGGTGACAACTCTTGAAGATGGTCCACCAGTACAAGTAGACAAAGGATTTGTCACCAATGACGATGGTGATGGCGACGACGTCGAGGTAGTAGTTATATTCGTTGCTGCACAAGAAGAAAAAGAAGAAGAAGAAGCCGACGGAGGAACGACGACGATGACAAGTCCGACCCAGAACGATCACAACGCAAGCGACTTTCAACCCATCGAATTTGTCGGAGAATTGACTGCTTGTGCCATCATCCAACCGTTCTGCGTACAGAGTGCTCAAATCATAAAGGAAGAGAACTTTTTCGAAACGCCATTCGGAAAGTTCGCAGCACACATTAAGAAACGATCGATTACATGCAACAGCGGTGTGTATTGTATTTTGAGCGAAGACGGAACGATGATTTCGAAAATTGGATCAAGTAAAAACTTCCAACAACGGTACCAGTTCTATCGAGAACAGTCGGAAATTAAGGAATCCCAGTTCTTCGTCATGGTCGACTTTAGTAACACCAACGAAAGAGTCGACCAACGATTGAATGAGATATATGCTGCCATGATGCAAGCCTAGATGGAAGCAGAAAAACTAGATCCGTTTCAAAAGTACCTGTTCCATACCTTGATGGAACGGGGCGGAGATCGTCTTGGTCCAAAGGAGACTTCATGGCTTCAAATGATCGAAATTGGCCTCCAACATCAGTTTGGACTCCCCGGTGTTTCGGACTTTGTCATGTTTGATCCTCGTGTCGCACGAGGTCTGTACAATACAGCCAGCATGCAAGCGACTTGCCTCATGAGACATCTGTCGGTTCTCCGTTCCAAGGTCCAGAATGGTGAACTATCCCAGTGAAAGCACTTTGCAGTTGGATGTCCGGCGTCAAGCATCTTTCAAGTAAAGTTGTGACATCCAAATGTATTCTGGGTGAACAGTTCCAGGATCAATTCATTGATACACTACCGTTTCCTCCTGTGGAAAATCCCAGAAATATGGAAGAATGCTTCGACAAAAGCAAATATTCCAACGCGCAAAAGGAGAATGGAAGAAGAATTCTCTTTCAAACTCTGACCGACTTTTTGAAGACGTCCTATGGGGTCCTGTTCATGGACACCAACAAGCTAATCTTAGACGATGATCCCAACTGTCGTAGGTCCGCCCATGATATCTTGACGGAAGATTTCCAACTCATTTATACGGAAAGATTCCTGGACGGCGAGATCGTATTGTATCTGGATGAACGTCAGTTCCATACAGTGCTACTTCACAAGCCAGTTTGTGTGGCAAGTGATTCGAGACGTTTCATTTCCGATTCGCTTCGATGGAAACGGGGGATTACTGTGTCCACCTTGTGCAATGTTGGACGATTGGTTCGGGGAGAACCAGTCTTGTCTCCAAACGTCCGTTTTTGCAATCCAATCCATGCCATGCTTGCGTTTCATATCGTCCTCCATGGGTACCACTTAGGTCATCGACAAGCTGCTGCTTTCTACCGGGATTTTGTCACTCCCGAGTCTACCAACGCTGTTTTGGACAATGGATTACCCAAGTCAGCAGAAAATGATCCAGTGGCAGAACGGCTTCGTCGAAAATACATCCAGGCAAGTGGTCGTATTTTCGTGGATAAAATGGACCATGGAGAAAAAGTACGACGTCAAGACTGCTCTATCATTAGTCAAGGTCGGAGCATTACCTCCCAGGCACAGATCGAGTCAACAGATTGGGATGTGGTCATGCAGTTGAAAACTTTGTTCCGAGCAAATCCAAATCCTAGCCTCCAATCAGCCAATTTTCGACATTTTGTACAGAACCATCTCTCTGATCAATGGAGCAAGCAACTCCTCGAGGTATACGAGACAACCACTGCCAATGCAGGAAACAGAACAATGGGTCCCAACAAGGCAGCTACCAGAGTCAAAGTAAATTTCAATGATGGTAGTGTGGCACAACTTCTCCAGACGCATGCATCACAAAATGGAGAACTACAAGGCGAACGATTTTGGATCAAGAAAACTCAAAATGTTGTGGCACATCCTGCGACTGGAAGTATTTCAACGGATCCATCCATCTCCTTCCCCAATGACAAGATGATTTACGACGACCTATGCTACGATGGATTGCGAGAACGTTTCAAACGTCGAGTGCGTCAGAACAGTGGTCACGATGCCGTCAAGGCCATCCGATACGAGCAATTCGTATTGAAAAAGTGCACGAAAAGGAACATTGGTTGTCGTAATCCATACACAGTTTCTTGTGGAGGGTACGTACTGGTGTATATTGAAGCTAGGCCCTCCAAAGAACCGGTCCTCGAGTTTGATACTACAGCTTCCAGTGCTGCTGTTCCATTGGAACGACACTGTACTCAACGATCCAAGATTCCACGTTGGACCCGAGCCAAGGAGTGTGTGGTTTGCATTGTCAAGGCTGAAGAACAATATCCAGATTGGAGCAATCGTTGCAAACGGGCACTCCCTTGCCTTTATTACATTGTGGACATCCCCAACGAGATTGCGTGAGAATTTGTTCTTGGCGCATTTTCTTCCGATTCCAATCTGGATATTGTTCTTCAGCCTTGACAATGAAGAGGACACACTCCTTGGCCCGATGTGGAATCTTGGATCGTTGAGTACAGTGTTGTTCCAATGGAACAGCACTGGAAGCTGTAATATCAAACTCGAGGACCGGTTCTTTGGAGGGCCTAGCTTCAATATACACCAGTACGTACCCACCACAAGAAATTGTATATGGATTACGACAACCAACATTCTTTTTCGTGCATTTTTTCAGTACGAATTGCTCGTATAGGATGGCCTTGACGGCATCGTGACCACTGTTCTGACGCACTCGACGTTTGAAACGTTCTCGCAATCCATCGTAGCATAGGTCGTCGTAAATGATCTTGTCATTGGGGAAGGAGATGGATGGATCCGTTGAAATACTTCCAGTGGCAGGATGTGCCACAACATTTTGAGTTTCCTTGATCCAAAATCGTTCGCCTTGTAGTTCTCCATTTTGTGATGCATGCGTCTGGAGAAGTTGTGCCACACTACCATCATTGAAATTCACTTTGACTCTGGTAGCTGCCTTGTTGGGACCCATTGTTCTGTTTCCTGCATTGGCAGTGGTAGTCTCGTATACCTCGAGGAGTTGCTTACTCCATTGATCAGAGAGATGGTTCTGTACAAAATGTCGAAAATTGGCTGATTGGAGGCTAGGATTTGCACGGAAAAAGTTTTCAACTGCATAACCACATCCCAATCTGTTGATTCGATCTTTGCCTGGGAGGTCATGCTCCGACCTTGACTAATGATAGAGCAGTCTTGACGTCGTACTTTTTCTCCATGGTCCATTTTATCCACGAAAATACGACCACTTGCCTGGATGTATTTTCGACGAAGCCGTTCTGCCACTGGATCATTTTCCGCTGACTTGGGCAATCCATTGTCCAAAACAGCGTTGGTAGACTCGGGAGTGACAAAATCCCGATAAAAAGCAGCAGCTTGTCGATGACCTAAGTGGTACCCACGGACGACGATATGAAACGCAAGCATGGCATGGATTGGATTGCAAAAACGGACGTTTGGAGACAAGACTGGTTCTCCCCGAACCAATCGTCCAACATTGCACAAGGTGGACACAGTAATCCCCCGTTTCCATCGAAGCGAATCGGAAATGAAACGTCTCGAATCACTTGCCACACAAACTGGCTTGTGAAGTAGCACTGCATGGAACTGACGTTCATCCAGATACAATACGATCTCGCCCTCCAGGAATCTTTCCGTATAAATGAGTTGGAAATCTTCCGTCAAGATATCATGGGCGGACCTACGACAGTTGGGATCATCGTCTAAGATTAGCTTGTTGGTGTCCATGAAAAGGACCCCATAGGACGTCTTCAAAAAGTCGGTCAGAGTTTGAAAGAGAATTCTTCTTCCATTCTCCTTGTGTTCGTTGGTATATTTGCTTTTGTCGAAGCATTCTTCCATATTTCTGGGATTTTCCACAGGAGGAAACGGTAGTGTATCAATGAATTGATCCTGGAATCGT